CAGAAAAATATGCAAAACTATAAACTACATTTCAAAAAAGAAAAAGTGAAAAAACAGTAATTATAAAAATTATGTCTACATATAATTAAGTGACTTGAAATAGTGTTAATATCTCCCTGCTCATGTAACTCACCAAAGCTACAGTCAATGTAGCTTTCCTATACATACAACAAGATAGACTTAGGCTTGATTATTGACAACACTGAGGATGGCACCAAAAGGCATACTCAATTGTCAAGAAAAATCCACATAAGTCCCAGGAAAGGATAAGGTACTTTCTGGTTTCTTTTTTTTTCTTTTTTCTTTTTGTCATGCTTTTTGGTTTTGTTTTGTTTTGTTTTGTTTTCTGTCAGGCAGTGTTTCCTGGCACTGGGAATGTGGAACATGATAGACTCCTTGTTGGACTCAGAACATAAGTTCAATCATGGGCAAGGCCCTAGAAGCAATGGGGGAAAATGAAGTGTTACTCAAACACCCTCTGGCTCAGCACTAGCTTTGGGTGACCTTGGGCTAGCAGGATGTCTCTACTGCAGCATCCTAGGCTCTCAATGTCAGAGTGGCATCATGATGGTACAGACATTAGGTGGATCTTCCAGCTGCATTTCAAGCCAATGATGGAAAAACTTGTCTATAGTTAGAACATCTGGTCCCCACATTAACACTCCTCTTTTCATCATTCCTCCAGATATGGGAGTTCTAGAGTCCTTGGAAACTTGGTCACAGCTGTGACCTCTATTTTGTCCTCTAAGCTGCCAGCCACCAGAGGTCTCCATGGTTAGCTGTATTTGTGACCATATTCCCTATCATTCATCTATTTATTTTGTTATAACTACTCTGGTGTGGAGAAGAAGGCAACTACAGAATGTCTCTCCTTGGCCATCTTGAAAATTTGTTCATTTATAGCACTTAAGAAATGTAACCACCTTGCTGACTTGCAGGATTCCTGGAAAGAAACTGTGTTGATCTTTACTTTTATTTTTCTGTAAGTAATATTATTTTTTATACCGTGCCGTCAGTTTTTCTCTGGATTTATTTCAAGCAGTTTGGTTGTGATATTTTTTTTATTTTTCTTTTGGTGTGTGTATATGTGTATATGTATGGACTTACTAGCCCTTGTGTGTGCATGTGGAGGTCAATTTTGACATCAGACATCTTTTACTGCTTCCTACCTTATATTTTCAGTCAGATTTTCTCACTAAACCTGCAGCTAGATCTCCCTGTCTCTTCCACCCTCCATACCCAAATGATTGCTATCATACTGTTTGTTTGTTTGTTTGTTTGTTTGTTTGGCAAGGGTACTAAGGATCCAAATTCAGGTCACAACACTTCACCCAATGAGCCATCTCCCCAGAGCTGGTTATGCATACTGTTACTACTGTTTCCTGTTTTCTGAAGAATGTGAATCTGTATGTTTGTGGTTTGGTGATAAATTCATTTGGGGGTATTTACATTTTATTCAATGATTCAAACATTTCTCCTGTTCATTTTGTCTGTTTATATTTTCTCTAGAATTCCAACCACACATGTATTAGAATAGTCAATATTTTCTTACAGCTTGAATTTGTTCTCCCACTCAACTCTCTCCATCCCTTCCATTTTCTTTTGTTTTGGTCTGGATAATCAGTGATATTAAGTTCAGTAGTTGATTTTCATGAGACAAACTTCTAGATACAACCTTTAAAGAAACTCTTCACTTGTATTTTTATTTCTTATGTTTCAATTTGGCCCATTTTTGATAGGTTCATTAGTTATCCACATGATCTTCGGTATTACCCATCTTTCCAAGCAGGTCTCTTTGTATACCAGTCATGTATGACAATCACAGTTAAATGTCTTTTCAGATCATCCTCATGTCGTGATGTGTCTGCCTGATTCTTGTGTTTGCTGGTGTGATGTGGTTGCGCTACTGCCTGCCTTCTCATATGTCAAATATTTTTGCCCAAACCTGGATTTTATTATTTTTTGTGCATAGCTCAAGTGAATGAGAGCACTGTCCTCACTCTCTGTTGTGCCCTCTCTGTTTTCATTTAGAGTTATTCATTTGTTATGCATTTAACAGGTTTGAAACAAAGCAGTGACTTGGGGGTGTCATTGCTCTGCTCATCAAAGTTACCTTGGCTTTTCTTGCACATCTTTGTAAGCCCTTACTTTTAATTTTTGGATAAGAACCTGGAAATATTCATCCCAAGCCCCAACCATCAGGAATGCCATGACACAGAAAGGGTACTCTCAGTAGAATGGAGTTAATGCTAGCATCCTCACCTTATTTTGATTACATTGGCCGGCCTTTGACATTTTATTATAGCAATGAAAAACTGAATAATACAGTACAATTATACTTTTTAAATTAAGAAATGTTTAAGCTGAAAATACCCATTAATGAAGAATAAGTTAAAACAAATATTTTATATCCATTAATATGACAAAATTCAAACAGTTGTCTAGTAAATGAATTAACAAGAGTTCTTACTGACTAAAAATGGGAGTATGTTTTGGTTAAATCACTCTGAGAGCACCTGGATATATGATTAAAGTTGCTGAAGTATATATTAATAGGCACAGATTATTTCAGATGATACAGTCATTGATAATGACCATAAATAAGGAAATAAAGACATAAACAGTTTTCTTATTACAATGGACACCCTACAAATGTTTGAATTAATAGACTAATATATATTAAAACAAATTTATAAAACAAAACTAGACAATATTTATAAGTTGTAAGAGAGTATGCACAGTATAGCACTAGTATAAAATAGAAAAGAATCCAAAATAATTATTTGTATCTTACAGTCTCACACTTGTGTTTAAAAAATATGAAAGATTACCCTAGGATGATTCATAGCAGGCACAGAGCATTAAAAAACTTCAACAGGAAAAAAAGGGAGCAAGGGAAAGCTCAGAAATGTAACTTAGAATCACTAAAAATAGATGTAAATAACATCTGGTAAATGTGAACTGTGGATGTTGTGTCTGATATGTATTTTTCTGTGTGCTTTAAATATTTTGAAATGAAACATTTTAAGGGAGTTTAAATATTTTAAACTTAATTCACACAGAGATTAATTGTCCCCATATTAAGTGCTCTAGTCTAATTAGAGATTGTTTATTTCAAAGCATTTGGATTTGCTATAGATAAAAAACTGTCTGTACATACTGGTTTTCAGTTTGTTAAGAATAAATGTGTGAATAAAAAAAAATAAACCTTTCATTGCTATCTGTGCTTCCTAATAGGCACAGAGGAACTAGAAGACAGCATTAGTTCTTAGCCACTATGAGTTTCACTGGTCAGTGCCATTCCTGTGGATATCTGAAATTGTTCATGAGAGTGGCAGGATGACATCTTGAGACTCCCATTACCTCTTTAGCAATACCTCTAGGTATCTGGAACCCTTTTATAGTTATTACACTTTCAAGGTCAATTTCAAGGAGATTTTAGTCAATAAAGTCAAGCCTGCTGGATTTATATTTAAATTATTTTATTGTTCAAACATCCCATCATAGTACAGTGTTCCTAACACTAGACTTATGTCCAAATACATTTTAGTAAGATAAAATGCGAAAACTAGTAAGATCCAAGTACTATTTTTAAACATTTTTGCACAGAACTCTAAAGAAGACTCCAGAGCTACAGACAAGTGGGCAAGTTCCCTATCATATGTAGAAGTACCATTTCTTAGTTCATATGAAATTTCTTTTTCTTTTTGAGAAAATATCTCACTGTGTATCTCTGACTGGCCTGGAACTCAATATGTAGATCTGGCTGGCCCCAAATTCATAGAGATATGTCTGTTTCTGCTTCCCATGTGCTGGGATTAAAGGCATGTGCCACCACACCCAACCCCATATAAATTCTTATAACTCTGACTGCATGTGCATCTGTAAATACTCAATTCAGCTCTAGTTATACACTGATAAATGTCTCTTGATAGGATTACAGCAATATCACATTGTGATGGTTCAATGCCAGATTACAGAGAAATATAAAGTTATTGCTCTGACTAAAACCAACTCTCATTATAATCACTACACATAAGTTTAGAATATTTTTCTATTTTCAGCTGCAGCAACTTAATAAATATGTTTGCAATATGCAATGCTTTTTATACAATTAGCACAAATGAGAAATGATTTAATGCGCAGAGTGAAGAAGGAGGAGATATTGGAGTAGCCACGTACAGAGTGGGTTCAGCCTTCACCCCCATATTGCAGAATTCATATGAGATATATTATAAACACCTGGGTGGCTCCTGCACAGTCTCAAGTAAAACAAAAGGCCACTAGGACAGCTCACAAGGACAAACTGAAATTTTTATCAAATCTCACACTCCATTATTTAATGAACACACATGCAAATTTTCTTTTAAATATTTTAGTCTTGCTAATATGGGAAAATTAAGGAATTAGCATTCTAATCAGTATAAAGTGGTACTGAAATGTAATAAGGAATAATCAAGTTGAAATTAATACCTTCAGTAATCAGGTTTTACCCAAATTCCTTGCTAAGATACTGTGTTTAAATTTGAATGACTTTTTTTCTGTTAAATGTGTTCCTAATTCTGAGACATTTATGAAACAATGTATTCAGTTAAAATATTGCCTAAAATATTGTTGCTCACATCAAATTCCAATGCAACACAGATACATCCATGCAGAAAAGAGAGCAAAGTATCCATTTTCTACAATGATCAAATTATTTGGGAAGTGTTTAGTCTTCTCTCTCTTTTCCATTTGTTGCATGTAGGAAATGATGCTGAGTACCCCATATACATATTTTCAGCCAGTCTATTTTTATCTAGGAAATTGACTTACCCATTAATTTTAAAGGTGTTTTATGAGAGGAAAACTAGACTGAGCTCTAAGCACTAAGTGGCTTTGCTTGCTTTTACTGGTTAGTTCATAGGGCATATTGAGCAGGCTGCCAGCTCTGCTGCTCCAGGTAATAAAACACAAATTGCAGCTACTGATTCTTTGTTTCCTGCTGTTTTCCTCACTAGGGAAGTCTCTGGGGAAGACAGGAAAGTCAAACAGACACCATCTCTCTGACCTAACAGCTTGCCACGTGGAAACAAAATGACCTTCTTTCTCTCAAAGACTTTTCCAGAAACATCCAGCCACCAGAATATCTGACAATGATATTTTTGACCTGTGACGATGCCAAGTTTTAATCATTGTAGTACAGTACTGTACTACAGCACTACGTGGTAGAACATTGGTGTCATTTTCCTACTATTTTTGATTAGCAAGTCCACTTTTTTTTCCGAATTCCTCTTGAGTGACTGGTCATTTCTGCACTGCAAAGCTATGCTTACTCATCACTGAGTCAGCAATGGGGAGATGACTTCAAACAGTGCAGGCACACTGGTCTGAGGTTCATCTCGGATATTAATTATATCATGCGATTTTCAGGATGTCATACTCATTACAGTATGACAATAGAAGAGCCCGAGAAAGCTTCTGGTTGCCCAAAGTGGCAGACCTAAAGTGCATGACCAACTGTCTTAACTTCATTCATTCTCTTTTTCTTCTATTTCTATTTACTGGGGGAAATCCATGACGTGTAAGAATACTGTTTGCAATTTGATTCTTAATTCTGTCAAAGGGATGTACATTAATCACTAATACTCATTGATCATTTGCTATATATCATTCTACCTTCCAATACCTTTGGATGGATACCACCATTTGATTTTTATAGGCATTACATTCCACCTTATGTCACATATTGAGAAACCACCACTGAGACAACTAGAAAATTGCCCAGAGTCACAGCACTAGGAAAAAAAGAGATCAAATGCTCTTAGCCACTAGTAGATTAAACTTACATCAGGCACAGTATAAAACTATCCCACATTTAATCATTTTTTCTATTGTCATATTTATTAAATTATCCCTTTATACAAGGTACTATGCCATCTTTTGAGTTCACAGAGTGGAAAAGAACCTATGTTCAAGAATTTTATTATTTATACAATGTTCTGTGATAGACATAAATAGATTAATTATGGGGCTCATTTAATAATAAACAAAGAGAAACAGTAAATCTTAAATATTTGCTGCATGTATTTGTTCATGGCATCTTTTTTTTGTAACATAAACTACATATGTATGATCTAATATATTATTTTTTATCCACCTGCCTGATTCAATAATATTTAATAGAAAAGAAGCAATATTTTCTTTGCCCAGATGGATGAGAAACTCCAGATAAATTATTAGTCCCTGTTCATATTCCCCCATAAAAGAATTCATATTTTTTTCTCACCTGGACAGTGTGATATTCACTTCTGTGTGGATGAGATGAAGCTGTCAAATCCTTCTTCTCTCAAGGCTGCTCCTGATTTGATGTTCTGAGTGGGCATTCAGAAATCCGATATATTTGGACACCACTTCAGAATCACCTTGGCTGAGCTGTTCTGTGTGCCTGTTAAAACAAACCTAAGCAGTGGCCTTTATTATGAGCACTAACCCACATGTGAGTAGGAGACTGGGTCAGACTAAAGAGGTTTACTATCCTACAATATCAGTTTTAATCTTTGAAAGGGATGGAAAATTGGATTTTCTCTGGTAAAATACAAGTTAAACTGAAAAAAGAAAACTCTTGCTGACTAGCTATACTTGCACAGTGTCAGGGAATGGGCCTGAACCAAAATACACTGGATGGTCTGATTCACCCGAGGCAGGTGACTAGTAGATAAGCCCAGTGTCCACCTCACTTAAAAAGAGGGAATCCAAACTGCTGACTTTTACTGCCCAAACTGCTACAGATGTGTCATCTCTGCAAGTTTCTCACATAGTTGTTGTTTATTTCTGTGACATTTTAGCAGCTCTATGTAATCTTACTATCTAAATGCCTTCTTTTAAAAATAAAACCATCACTTATATGAAATTATTATGACTTGTATTAATGTTTCATTGTGAGTCAAAGGCCAAATTCTGTATGTCCACATCCTGAGGAGCTTCTCTGCTAAAGGCCCATAGCACCTCAAAATGGCTTGACACGGGAGACTAGGCTGTTGGAAAAATCAGACCTCAGAGCAGTGGTTCTCAACCTTCCTCATGCTGTGAACCTTTAATACAGTTCCTCATGTTGTGATGAGCCACAACCAAAAAATTATTTTCCTTGCTATTTCATAACTGTAATTTTGCTACTGAGTCATAATGTAAATATCTTTGCTTTCCAATGGCCTGAGGTGACTACTGCAAAAGAGATCTTACACACAAAGGAGTTGTGACCCACACGTTGATAACTACTGCTTTGGAGAAACCACGAATGCATCTGGAGAGGTGGAGAACTGGTCTTTGTTTGGCTGAAAGGCCCAGCCGGCTAACCCATCAGGCTAGTGTTCCATACAGAGGCTGGGCCTGGTCTATAGTTTCTTACAACATTTATGAGGTATGCAGCATCACTTTTGATTATTTATGTTATCTGTGCATTAGGGAGTTGAACTTTAGTCTACTTCACTAAGGCTGTTAGCAAACGCATACATAGCAAACTAATAAAGATGCGAGAATAAAGATTATAAGATCCAGAGGATCGGGGAGTTTGCTGTGAAACTGACTCTCCTAGAAATGTCAGAAACTACACCCATAAGGTCTCACCAATGTGGATGCCTAAACATAAGTTGAAGAAAGACAACAATAGACATGTCAAAGTGAATTCCAGAAAGACCACGAGGCCTCAACCCTACACAGAGAACTACAGAAAACTAAGCAATGCTGAGAGAAATTGTCTTCACTGGGGATGAGAACACCATTTGTTAATAACAAAATGTCTGTACTGAATACATATACATACAAGTAATATTGTATAAACTGAACAGGTTATATTTAGGAATATACACATATGCATATACATATATCCATGTAATTATAATTAATAAAAAAGTAGGCCATGAATTTGAAAGAGAGAAAAAAAGGGATGCATGGGAGGCTTTGAAAGTATTACAACCTGTGGGTCATGACCTCTTTGGGGGAAATCAAAGAGACCTTTCACAGGGGTCATCTAAGACCTTTAAATAATACAAACTTTTACATTATGATTTATAGCAGTAGCAAAAGTACAGTTATGAAGTAGCAACGAAAATCATTTTATGGTTTGGGTCACCATAGCATGAGGAACTGTATTAAAAAGACACAGCATTAGGAAGATTGAGAACTGCTAGGTTAGAGAACTTGCTGCTCTTACAAATGAGCTGCATTTGATTCCAAGTACTCACATGGAGGCTCACAACCATCTTCACCCCAGTTCTAGGAAATCTGACATTCACTTCTGACCTATGTTGGCACCAGGCACAAGGTAATTAATATACATGTATGGAGGCAAACGTATCATACACAAGAATAGAAGACTTAAATAGACATCTCATCAAAGAAGATACACAGATTGTAAGTGAGATTAACACTACATTTCACAAGAAAAATGTACATGAAATAATGATGAGCTATTGCAAAAGCCAAAATTAAAAATTCTGCAAAAAAAGAGCAATTGCTACCCAGGTTATGGGCGAACAGGAACTCTCATTCCTGGCCGGTTGTAATGCAAAGTTGTATACCTGATTCAGAATATGTTTCTCTCTTACAGAACCACATATATTTTTGTCACATGATTCAACAATCATATTGTCTGGTATTTAACCAAATGATGATAGAAGTTTTATATATAATTCCTAAAATATCAAAACACATGTTTCACTAGATGAAAGGATGAACTCTGGTATAATCATGGAATGGAATATTATCTAACTTTGAAAAGAAATGAGCTTTCAGCCCACAAAAAGATATGGAAGCACCAAAAGTGCACACTGCTAAGAAAAAATAGAGCCAAGAGAAAGGGTACACACTGTGTACCAGCTATACAACATTTTGACAAGGAAATTCTATTAAGAAATAAAAACACAACAGTTGCCAAGATTTCTGGGGTGGGGGCGGTATGAATGAAGAAGTAGAGAGCTTTTTAGAGCCATGAGATGACTGCGTTATTGCAACGGTGTACACACGCTGTATACATTTGTCTTTTCCATAGAACAAGCTATATACCATCGACTTCGACGGGGCCTATGCAGATTTATTAATTGCAATTAATACACTATTTCTAAGAGATAGTAGTATGGCACAAGTTATACGTGGAAGGAAGCAGGCATGTATGTAAAGTAGTTATGCTTTCTACTCAATTTTACTCTGAAACTAGACTAACCTAAAGAAAAATTTGAAGAAAAATGCATTTTCCTTTGCTCAAGTAGCTTCACTAAGTAAAATCATACATACAAACACTACTGAATAGTATGTTTTCTAATCATTCTAAGCTTATGGAAACATTAAAATTAGATGGAACTTAGTTTTGGGGGGATTTTAAATACATAAAAGTATAAAGTCTATTATCCTGTAAACTCACAAATCGTTTGAGAGTTCATTCTATTAATTCTTACCAGACAATTGTAAATTCAAACTACATTTTATGCTCCTCAAGCAGGACCAATTTTTTTCTTGACATTAGGAAAATTAAATTAGAGAACATTTTTTCATTCTGAAAATGAGAACAGAAAAACAAGCTATACAGATAGATTTTCTTTTTAATTTGGGTGACATCACACCCACTGAACATCCACTTACAGTCTGAGTACCAGATATGCTTCTTCATGTCAGCTAGATCAGATGTTGGGGTAATTATTTGAAAACCAATAACACATAAGTAAGGCTAAATTATCCTGCAATACATGCATCTATAAAAATATTCAGAAATTTACTTTTGAAAAAACACATTAGCTGGGCTTGGTGGTACACACTTGTAATTCAGAAATTAGAGGGAAGGGGATCACACTAATTTGAAACCAGTTCGGGTAAATCCTACCTAAAAACAATAACAACAAAAATGTCAATGAATGTATTTTTAAAAATACATTTGCATTCAGTGGAAAATGTGCTTCATTTATATTACTCACAGAGGTCAGGATATTACTAAGAGACCTTGGGGAGGAAGGATCCTAGCTGAGGGAAGAGAGAGCACTGTGACTGAAGAGGAAAAAGGGAATAGTGAAACATGAAAAGTTAAATTGAGTGGGAGATGTCAGGCAGATTAGCAAAGGAAACATGAGGAGGGATAACAAACACTACAGACTTTTTGAAAAAGTCATAGGAAAAAATGACCACTTCAAAAGCTTCAGAAAATATGAATAAACCTATATAAAAGGAGTTTGAATGGAGTAACCCTATAGCAGGGTAACAATGTCCCTACTAGACACCACAGGCTAACAAACAAAAATCCCAAAGAAACAGCGTTCTCTGAACTCAATAGGGCAGTTACATGTAGGAATGCATAGTAGTCATAATAACATGGACAAGACATTTGTAAGTTCAAGCAAGACAAAATGCCAGCACAGATGGGGCAGGATGGCACAAAGGCCTACCACTAGATTAGGTACTGTGATTGAGGGGGAGAATCAATTTTCTTTTCGGGCGGGGCCCATGGTAGGTCTAATATGCTCCAGTAGATGGCCACACACCTAAGAGTTTATATCTAGAAAGTACTGTTGACATTGATGGGTTTTAAACTTAAAAAAGAAGAGTGACATAAAGTCAGGAGGGTTTGGAATGGGGAATGGACCTGGAAAGAGATTGGAGAGGATGAATATGATCAAACTGCAGTGTATGAAAATCTCAAAGACAATAAAAATTAAAAATTAAGACTTTGGGAGCCCATTCCACATAGAGGGATATTCCCTGAGCCAAGACACACGGGGGTGGGCCTAGGCCCTATCCCCAAAGATTATGATAGACACTGATGACCTCCTATGGAAGGCCTCACACTCCCTGGGGAGCGGAAAGGATATGTGATAGGTAGCTTTTTAGTTGGGGGGTGGTAGGAGAGGAGGGGAAGGAGCGAGAACTGGGATTGACATGTAAAACAATCTTGTTTGTAATTCTAATAAAAAAACACTTGAAAAAATAAAAAAATTAAGAGTATAAAATTGGTAGAGGAAGTTATTTGTAGTAGTTTATGTATTCTCATTTTGCTTTTATTTTATTTTAAAACACATTTCTCACAGTTGAATAAAATGGATTTTTTTTAACAGAAGAGTTGGACTACACAGGACAAAACCAAAAATTACACTACAAGTATCATGTGCCTACCCCATATTACATGTGCTAAAAATCATCAAGGAGTAGACATGTTGCTGAGGGCTCTCATAAGTGAGTCTAATGCAGAGTGCACAGGGAGACACAGCTCAGCACTATGCTCAGGACCCACTGCTGGGCTACACCTTCTTGAAAAGGCTCCCTTTTATGGCTTTGTCTAAATCCCATATTGTTCCAAAACGATGGAAGGATTCAGATACTGTTTATTTAATTAAAGTCAATGTTAATTCCTCATCTGATACCTCTAGTGCTGAAGACTTTATACATACTGAAACCAAAAGAGTGCACACACACACACACACACACACACACACACACACACACACACACACACACACACACACGGCATCAATAACAAACCAGAATATTTAATCCATAAGACACTACTTTGACAGGACCTGCAAGGTTTTCTTCTCATGGAACAATGGAGCAAGGTTAACTTCACTTTGCTAGGAGACTGGCAGTATCATGAGTGGACACTCTTAGAGCTCTTATGGAGATGCAGTTCGATGTTAGCATCATTCTTGGGAGTTTTCACTGTCTTAAGAACTGTCATTTAACAGTCATCTTCCCTTTCATATAGGGAAGATAAATGATGAACAAAAATTCCAAGTACTGTCATGAAAATTTCTTTATTGGACCACAATGATGCAAATTTTTTCTAGTTAGTTGGCTATTTCAAACTATTTAGAAATATTGCTTTAATAACATGAGACTCCATAGAATATAGAAAAAGAATAAATTTGGGCCATTGCACCAGTGTAGCTTGTCTGTCCATTATAAAATGAAAAACATCTTTTATCTGCCCTGACTAATCACAAAGATCTTTATATTTTTTTCAAAAGGGAAAATGCATGGTTCGTGAAGCTTTTAAAAAATATATGCACTTTTCTTTGAAGATACAATGTTCTTTAGAGCAGAAGAGATGTGGTTAGGGAA